AAATAAATGCAATAAAGAAAATGGTGTTTGAACAGGATGGTTTATTGAGCTGTCCAACCCTGCAAGTCAGTGACTTATGAACACTGGCCTGCTCTTTTTGATATTTGAGAGAGAGACTTTGATAGAAGATGATTTGAAAATATAATTAGTTGGTCTTTCCATTCTCTCTTTATTATCATAAGAACCCATGTAGTGGTTTTTTTTTTCCTTTAGATTGCAAACTCATTAGAAAAGATGCTTATAATGAACAATTCAATTAGATTGGCTTTGGCTTGCCTAAAAGCACAAGAAGGGATTAATATTCTAATCAAAAGTCTCAGGGAAATAGTATTAGAATAAAAAAGAAAGACAGACAGAAAATCTTCTTTGTCAAGCTTGTGTTCAAGAACCCAGGAAACTGTCAAGGAATATAAAGCAACTCCTCCAAAAGCAAGCAGTGAGTACATGGATGTGCTTTGGGCACGGTGAATGAGCCTCTGTGTTTGCTGCAGGCTGAAGGTTCCCACCCGACTCGTGGAAAATTTACTCAGCTGCTTAAGATTATTTTTACCCATCCTTCAGAAGAATAGCAGCCTGGAATTTTTAGCCTTTTATTGCTAACATAAAGAACTTACCAGTGATAAACTTTTTTTACTCTCTCATGCTTTCTCTACCATTGGCTATTCTGAGTCAGTGCTTGCCTTGCATTTGAAAATAATAGTAAAGATTCGAATAAAACATGTATTAAACACTATTTGAAACATATTCCCAGTACTTTCACATTATCTCATTTAATTCCCACAATAATAATATGCAATAAGAATCACCATTCTAATCTGACAGTTGAGGAAACTGAGGCTCACAGTGAAATGAAGTGACTTACCCAGAGCTACATGGGTTTGTAAATGGCACAGGATGATTCCATTAGGATCTCTTAACTCCAAATACATATTTTTTCCCCTAGGGGCAAAAGATTGCTATGGAATTCATGTACACCCACAGAGCCTGGATAAAAGCTATAGCAAGATCTGGAATAGGACAAATAGGAAGAGGTCACTCCTTTGTGGATTTTTAAATCATGGTTAGATTTTAGTTTTTAACTGATACATTAAAATCGTACACATTCATGGGGTACCATGTGATGTTTCAGCATATGTTTCTGTGGTGTAATGCTGAGATCAGGTGAAATATATCCATCTCCCCAAAGATTTCTCTTTTTTTCCTGACAAAAACATTCAGAATCCTTTTAGCTTTCTGAGATGAACGTGATCATTATCTAATCACCCCCACCGTGCAGCAGCACCCCGGAACTGCTCTCTCCTACCTGACTGTAACTTGGTACCACTGACTCCTGTGTTTTCGTCAGTGTTCTGCCTGCTCACAGCCCTGTTAGGAAGAGAAGCAGGGGGTCTTTGTTTTCTGGGACTCACAATTGCAGTGTTCCTAACAGACCACATCTCCCTTCCTGCAGCTCTCACCAAAACAGCATCCTTTCAGCTTCAAGTGGGAATGAGCCCCACGCCTTGCCGCTCACTTGTCCCCAATCTCAGACAGCTACCAATCTCAGCAGTTCCACTTTTCCCTCTTTCCTGAGGACTGGTTCCTCTGGGGAAGCTCATCAGTGTCAGCAGTGCACACTGCAGACTGGCCCATGTCACCTTCCCATCCAGAAAGTCCCAGGGCATGCTCACACCCAACAGTACCAGGAGGGTGACGCGAGATTTGTACATTTCAAAAGCAGTTTCCCTAGGTGACACTGCAGACATTGCTGTGGAGGTGAAAGTTCAAGAAGTGATAGTCTCAACTCCATCTGAACAGCTGGTTGGTTGCTTTTCAGTCATCACCTCACTTCAACTCTCTATATGCTCTCCAGAGTCAAAGTGCTCTCTCAATTCCTTTCCCCTTCCCACCAAGCTGGACAGAGCATCCCACATGCCTCGGGTATGGTGTAGCGTTCAACACTGGAGAGAGGAAGTGTCTTTAAGGCTTCTGTCCCCCCAGCCAGACTTGAACACTGCCAAGGAGGAGAAGGACTGTGACTTGATTCATTTTGCATCCTGGACACCCACACATAGTAGGTGTTCAGTGACTGTATGATGAATGGTCAATGCCTGCTGAATGCACTAATTACATTTGTGCTCTCTTGGTTTTGCTCTGGTGACAACCCCTAAAATTCCTCTCTCCCTTTCCTGTACTCTCAGATAGGAGAAAATGTATTTCCTTATTAGTTAGGGAATCTTGGTCATTCTACAAATTCTTATGTAAAATGTCCTTCTAATTAGTATATTCAGTTCTACGGGCAGAGTACCTCAAGTGATATGCTCATTACAATGATAAATACATCACTGAAGTTTCAGAGTAGACTCCAACACGTGACATAGTGGTGAGTATGAATTAGCATGGACTGTGGAAGACGCTCAGCCCCGCTTGGGAAGAAGCTGGAATCCAAAAACTCTGCTTTTAAATTTTAAATTGGTTCTCAAATGCAAACTTGATCCCTTCCTATTCCATTATATGTTTCAGGCTAGGCAATAAAAATTTTATGTCCTCCAAATATAATGGATGCAATCTGATTTATGTCCCTCAAAGTAGGGTCAAAAGAGGAAACAGAGGGGAGAATGTCCTCCTTGCTCTAGCAGCTCAGGTACCCAGTGGACTCTCACGCAACGCATCCCATATATTCTGTATTTGTGTGTGGGGTGGGGGGGGGAGTGTGCGTGTGCCTTTATGTCCAAGCTGAGCCAAATATTTACCTCTGACCATATTTTCAGTTCAGCCAGGCCCTTTTCAACCTTTGACACTCTTTAATATTTCTAATCCCCCCTCCCCAGGCAAAACCCAGCTGGTCACAACTAGATGTTAAGAGAAAAGCAAATCGTTAAAATTAATCCCTATTGAGGCATAAATGACTATTAGCCCATAAGCCTTTGGTGAAGTAATTAACTCTTAATAAAGAATAATTATCCAAAGAAATTATACTTCTAAGTTGGCATGAATTCAATAACTATATTGAAAGGAATGGAAAGAAAAGCAAGTAAGGAAGAACTAGTCATACCTCCTAAAAGCCTGGTTGGCTTCTATGAAATTATTCCTTCTTTGTATCTTCTGTTTCCTCCACATGGTGCCAAGGGTCTTTTGAAAGTTTGTTTTTGTTTGCTTGTCCCTCATGAGGCTCAGGTTGACACCGGGTGCTTTCTGCGATACTATGAGGAGCAGTATGTAAACTGGCTTCAGAAGCCCCGTAGAAACTGTTCTCCTCACTCTGTGCTCACAGCATCAAGTTTCAGCTAGTCACTCATTCCGTTTCCATGGTTCCTTTATCATCTACTCCTGGAATATACCAGAACCTGCAGTAGTAGACAGGATGATTCAAGCAGGGCCCTCTCCCACAGCTGACCGACCACTGGGAAGACAGAGATGTCAGGATGACTCAAGTGTCCCACCTGTATCCAAAGTTCCAAAGAAACTTGGAAATGTTGGGAAGGCTGCATGTGATGTGATGAGGGGTTGATAGTGCTAGGGTGTGGCTGCTAATGAGTGAAAGGAGACAAAAAGAAAGATTTAGGTTGAACAAAGCCAAGTGCAAAAGAAAAAATTTTGAGGACATAGAACCAAATAGTTGGAGAGAACTTCACCTATTGAGGGAAGGTAAAAGGCTACTTGGGAACTCTTCTTCTCATGCATTATCTCTTTTGTTATTTGTTGTTATTTTTCCCATGGAACTTGAACATTTTCTTTGCATACATTGAAGAAAGGCAGAGGTACAAAATGATTTTTTTGAGGTATCATATTACAAAATAAAAAGGGGTGTCTATTAGTCAGTGTTCCAGATAATGATACTTCTCAGGCTTCAAATCATGCATTATTTCTTAAAAGCCAGCAACTGGGTCTTATCCTTTGCCTCACTCCTTTGTACCAGGATGAACACTCCCCTTAGAATGTGTGTCCAGCTTTTCTGGAAGCCAAGCACAGCCATGCTAGGCAGAACATGGGTGTCTTGATCTTGTTCCTCTTCTTCCCCAGGGCACGTTGCTATGGGGGATGCACAGCCACTCACATCTAGGGATCTGCTCCAGGTTTAGACATAGGATCTATGTGCCAGCACAACCAGCCTGCCTGCTTGTCCTTACCTGTGTCCAGTGCTGCCCTTCCCCTCAGAGCTCACCTGTAGCACACCCTGTGAGGTCACTTTCAGCCTCTTTGGCAGGACTTTCTGGTGGTTTAACACAGAAAGTGTTAGCATGGTGCTCTTCCCAAGAATCTGACTCTTCCTAAGATCTTACAGAACTGCTGCCATCTCTAGCTCCAGAAACAGCCATCAGGGATGAATGTGGGAAGATTCAGGATGTTTTGGAAGATCTAAGTTGGAAATTACAGAATAAGTAGTTATAGCCAGTAACAGCCTATAAAACCAGGAAAAAAATGCTCTTCCCAAGAGCTGAGCCCTCCCTCCAACCCCTCTTCAATATATTCTCACAATGACCAGTTTCTCAGTAACTTAAAAGCAGATATTCTGACCACTTAAGGGAAATTTTTATATCTAAGTAAAGATTGTGAGATGAAATACATGGTTTGAAGAATATGATATAGCTGTGCCATACTTCTGGGGTTAAAGATAAGTTAATTAGCCTTACTTACCTCAGGAGAAACTTTCAAGTTGTTCTGAATAACTAGATTAATTCAGCAGTGTTTTCTAATATTTAGATTGTTTTCAGTTCACTTAGAAGCTAGGACTTACTTGTAGGAAAAATATTAAAAGCAAAATCTTTAGGCAGTTTTAGTCACATTGGACTCTCACTTCCATATCTCTGGAGGATGCTTATGAATTCCTGCAAAAGCAGAATATTCTACAGTTAAAGATGCAATCCTAGACTTTTATCAGTTCACAGTCTTTCTTCAGGAAAATGTGATTTAACATGTATTATAAGACTCAGGTTGAGTATGATTGAAAAATAAAACTGCTGACAATGAGAAGTTAAAATATTTCCCATTGTTATTTCTGTTTTTTTCCAGGAGTATTTGATATAGCATCTGACACTGTTTCAACTCAAGAAATCAAAATGAACCTCAACTCTTCCATAGATGATGGTATTAAAAGAATCCAAGACGACTGCCCCAAAGCTGGCAGGCACAATTACATATTTATCATGATTCCTACTCTATACAGCATCATCTTCGTGGTGGGAATATTTGGAAACAGCTTGGTGGTGATCGTCATTTACTTTTACATGAAAATGAAGACCGTGGCCAGTGTTTTCCTTTTGAATTTAGCGTTGGCTGACCTCTGCTTTTTGCTGACATTGCCGCTGTGGGCTGTCTACACTGCTATGGAATACCGCTGGCCCTTTGGCAACTACCTGTGTAAGATTGCTTCGGCCAGCGTCAGTTTCAACCTCTATGCCAGTGTGTTTCTGCTCACGTGTCTCAGTATCGACCGCTACCTGGCCATCGTCCACCCCATGAAATCTCGCCTCCGACGCACAATGCTTGTGGCCAAAGTCACCTGCATCATTATATGGCTGCTGGCCGGCTTGGCCAGTTTGCCATCTGTCATCCACAGAAATGTCTTTTTCATCGAGAACACCAATGTCACGGTTTGTGCTTTCCATTATGAGGCCAACAACTCAATTGTCCCCGTCGGGATGGGCCTGACCAAAAACGTCCTGGGTTTCATCTTTCCTTTTCTGATTATTCTGACAAGTTACACTCTTATTTGGAAGGCCCTCAAGAAGGCTTATGCCATCCAGAAGAACAAGCCGAGAAATGATGATATCTTTAAGATAATTATGGCAATTGTGCTTTTCTTTTTCTTCTCCTGGGTTCCCCACCAAATATTCACCTTCCTGGATGTGTTGATTCAGCTGGGCGTCATACGCAACTGTAAAATCTCAGATATTGTGGACACAGCCATGCCCATCACCATTTGCATTGCTTATTTTAACAATTGCCTCAATCCTCTTTTCTATGGCTTTCTGGGGAAAAAATTTAAAAAATATTTTCTCCAACTTCTGAAATACATTCCCCCAAAACCCAAGACCCACTCAAATCTATCAACAAAAATGAGCACGCTCTCCTACCGCCACTCCGATAATTTAAGCTCCTCCACCAAGAAGTCAGCGCCACCGCCTTTTGAGATCGAGTGACAAGTCTGTGAAGCAGTCTTGTGAAAGGAAGAGCCAGGGAAACATTCCTCTATAGCACTTCACTACCGAATGAGCACTCGCTACTTTTCCGAATGTAAGCAGATAGCTGATTAAGTGCACTGATGCTCCTTTTCTAAAGCTCTGAACAAAAGCTTTTCTTTCCCTTTGCCACAAAATGAAGCAAAGCCACGCTTTTCCATGGTTTGCATTAAACAGATCACCGCTGCTCCCAGAACAATATCACAAACTGGATGGATGTGTTAATTAGGAAAATTTTACCGGCAGAAATGCAGTCTCCCATCTCCTCTTGTTCTGTCATTTTTTCCATATAAAGGTACTTAGAATATGTTCAACCTTCAGAAGAGCAACAGAAGATCCCTGGGAGTTCAAGGTTGCTCTGCTGTTTCTGCAGGGCAGTGAAGCTTTGGTGCCTGTTTAGCCATTAGCAACGGTGGTCACTCCTTCCTGCTACTACGCATTTGGAACAAGGATTAGCTAAGCAGTAGTTATCAAGTTGCAGAACCTTTCGTGAAATTCAGTCAGTGTCTTAGAGATCCACACTACCAAAACTGTGCCAGCAAGATGGCTTAGTTGTACAATATTGTCACTTAAGTCATTGCATAAAAGTTAAAACTACTTGTAAATCTGTTATCCAGATCCCTGGTGGCTCTGTCTTCCTAGTCCTGTTAGTTCTATTTCATATCTGAGAAATGTGTATAGTTTATGGTTAAAAGATTATATGTCATAAAGTATGCCTTACTGTTTTTTTAAAAAGTATATATTCTACATATATATGTACATCTCTAAACTGCTGTTATTTGATTAAAAGCTGGAAAAGTTATATTTACCTTGAAATAAAATAATTTTATTGTAATGTATCTAGTGTTCACTACTTAAAAGAGATGCTTATTTATTTTTAAAATAGGGTAAATGTGGATAAGAATGATTGTATTTTCACTTAAAGTTTCACTCAACTGATAGCTTAATTCCGCTAGGTATCGATTTTTGTATCCCACCATTGAAAAGACAAAGAAAGTTTTTCCCCTTACTGAACAACATGGAATAAACACATTGTGTTGAAATTTAATTTTCCATACAATAGCAAAAATAATTCTTATTCCTTATAAAATTTAAATAATACATTATTTAGGGCTGGGGATATAGCTCAATTGGTAAAGTGCCTGCCTTGCATGCACAAGGCCCTGAGGCCCTGAGTTCAATCCCCAGCCCTAAACACACAAAATAATAATAATATATAATTTTATTCATAAATTTTAAGTGGGATTTTTCTAATTACATGCCGCAGTCTGGCTGGGCACAAATCACGAGCCACTGAAGCAGGAACAAACTTTATTTCCACCAGCACACTCCACATACTTCCCACCCACCCCCCCCCACCCCCAACTCTCGCGAACGCCAAGCCTCCAGGAACCACCAACCGGAAATCCCTCCTCTGGCACTTCCCCAACCAATGGGAACTCTCCGGGAATCCCAGAGAACTCCAAAGTAGCAGGCCGAGGCTACTTAGCATAACCATTATCATCTCAATGGCTTTCTGGCATCACCTCTCAACCACTCCGTTCTGGCAAAAATGCCATGCGTCATTCAACTCGGCTATGGCTCTCAGCAATTACATACGTGATCATTGTGGGAAATTTAGAAGACAGAAAAGCATAAAAAAAGTCATCTTTAGTTTCCCAACTCAAAAATGATCATTTTAATGTTTTTGCCTACTTCCTTCTACTTTTTTTTGTGTTCATACACATATACATATATAAATTATGACACTGGAGTCATAATGCATACAGAATTTTGTATACAAATTTTTTTTTGGATTAACATGATAGCATGGTAGTTTCCTAACCCATTAAATATTTGCTAAAACACTTTAGTATTTTCACAATGTTACCAAATACAGACACACCCTGATGTAGTTAGCTAGTCACCAAATTGGAACATTTAGCTTTTTTCAGTCTATTTTTCAGTGTCATAAATCACACTGAGATGAGCCCTTGAGCGATGAATCTGATAATTCCTCACCCTCCTCCACGTGGCCCAACTGAGTAGACACTCTGAACATTTTCATATTCTTAATACACATTGCCAAATATTTCCCAGAAACTTGCAATAATTTATAATGTCACCAACTGTGTGTGAACGAATCTCACCACAGCCTCAGCACCATGGGATGTTTGCTAAGTTTAAGCAAAAATAAGAAATTTACTGGAAGGATCCAGGTGCGGGCCACAAGGGTGGGGATGGAACTGGGCCTGAAGAAGCCCTGGTCACATAAGGTTGTCATGGGTGGCTGCCGCCTTCTCCACCTGTCTCTCTGTTCCTGTGTGGCCCATGGGGTCAGGGGTAGGGGTAGGCTGGTGTTCTCATTCTATTCTATAAATTGTAGCCAAAGGATTCAGGTGACCACAAAACAGCTGGCGGAGGCCAAGGGTGAGGAGGTCATTCAGAAAGGCCTATTATTTTTTAATTTCACTAACATATGCCTGCCACTCATTCCAAGTTTTCTTTATTTTCATAAAGAGATTAACTCCAAAATTTAAATTTCAGCTCATCCCAAATTATACTATAAACTTGTCCTATTTGAAATCCCTTCAGGTCAGCTTCTTAACAGTTTACCCTTTTTTCAATAATTATTTGAATCCAAGGGGGTGCAAGTACTTTAAACTTGCTGAACCATTTGATAGGTTATAGCTGAAGAAATTTCTGAAAGGTAGTTGTATTCAGATATCCTCCAGCTCATGTATTTAGTAACTGATATGAATTTCACATTGCATATCTCATTTTTGTTTTAATTTCATCAAATTATATTGTCATTTTACCCCCATCTCTTTTTGTGAAATATTTATAACCTTGAAGATTATTCTTGCTTTTTCAGTAATACCTAACATCGAAGTTGAGATTCACTTACCAAACTGTCAGGAGAGGATGACATGATTCATTCTTCATGAACATGTGTAGAGTTTAGGTACAGTCCTTATTTGTGGAATATTCTTCAAGTTTATGCAGAAAAGGCTATGTTCCATAAAGATCTAGATAGATGCCCAGCAGAATTCAAGTGGTATATCCTAAATCTTATTCCCTCATGAAGAAATCCATCTTTTCAGTCAATAGAATCATTCATAGGTTCAATCACTTTTATATGGTTTCCTACTTTGTGCTGGGGGAGTAGAGTTGTGTCACGCATAGCATATAACGTGTGCAAGGCCTTTCAATCAGCTGCAGCAGGCAACATGAAAGAGAGCCAAGTGACAAGTACTTGATTGCCAAGCTAAGGAAAGACTGGCAGAGTTTGATAACACAGATTTTCAGTTTCATTACTCTGCATATTGCTGCAGTTTTTCTCCAGCGGATACATGCCAACCTGGAGATCCAGAGAAGAGAAAACCAATTTAAGAAGGTCATAAAAGTGGTAAATGAAAGAAAATAACCACCCTGAGATATTTGGAGATGAGATTCCCTAAGGTAGAAAAAAGGTAAATCAGGAGAAAGTGAGACAGAGAGACTGAAGAGTGGACAGGAGGTCTCCCAGGGTTCAGACCACGTGGGAGAGCTGCAGGGCCCTGGGGCCATATTAGGTCTGAACCCAAACCAACCAGAGGTTGTATTAGCAGCTATGTCTCCCATGCATGGAAGAAGCAATCTGCATTGAGAGGGAAGTGAACAGAAAAGGCAGAAGAGCCCTAGTGATGCTTGATTTACTGATGCCCTTCTGTATCCCTGACCACCCCCTACTTTGGACCCAACCTCCACATCTTTAACTGAGGGATCCATAGCTAAGATCTACAGGCATTTCTTTCTGCTTATGATTGATAAGAATTCACATTTTCTAGTGTGCAGCACATCATTCAGTGGCCATGCAGGAGGAGTTATGTTGTCTAAGTCCCAAAACTTCTCCATCTCTACCCAAATAAGAGTCAGGAGGACTACTCCTCTTTCGTATGTCTCCTTGTAAAAGAGTGAAAGCCAGGATATCTCACAGTATGTGTGTTACAGGGGAAGGGGTGTGATGATGTAGAAGGACAGATACCCAATTGGGACTGAAATTACCACAATACCTACTAGTATCTCCCCCTTAGTGAAATACTGTTCTGTTGCCTGCATATTATAGTAAAAATGATTTAGACTATGAAGTCATAAAATAAAGGAAATGAGTACCACACACCTTGCTGCCTGGACCCTCCTCACTAGACAGGGTTCTGGGAGTTCTCTGGATCTCATAGAACCAGCAAGCATAGCATTCTACCTTGCCAAATTCAATGGAAAAAAGACATCCATTCATTAAGCCAAACCACCTTGCTTAGGAAATGATACAACTGAGGTTAAAACAATTTCCATAATCAAAAAGAACCAGAACCAGAAATCCTGTTAGGGCTCCCTACCACCTTTTTTTCAAAAGACAGTAGCTTAAAATGAGACAATTTAGCTCTAATAATAGTTCATTCTAAATCATTCATACACAAGGAAGCATTGAATAAATAAGCCTCTAAGAGTTTAAAGACCTTAAGATTTACCCTCCAAGCAGTGTGATAAGAAAATATTTATCTATACACACAAGAGATATAAATTTGGTGAATAAATGATGTTAATTTCGAACTATTAAAAGCTAGTTTGCTATTGTGATTACTTTGCTTCAAGAATCTAAATGATGATGAGACATGTATACCCCGAGGCCTAGGTCCTGATTCTTTCCAAGTCCCATAGAGCTTATTTTGAAAAACTAAACAAGATGAAAAATAGAGATTTGGGCTGAACCTCCAAATGAATTGGGATATATCTCGTGGGACTTCTTTGCCATGCCTGATAAAGCTCTGCTATGCCATATGGGCACATACTGTTGCTAAAAGATAATTTTCCAGAAATAAACAAATAAGGTTCAATCCTCCAAATGGCAGATGGAAAGCAGGATGGTGTTAGGCAACAAGGAGAAGCAGTGCCAGAGGTCACCAGAGCAGAGCATCCCCCACACTGAGTACTGAGCAGAC